TCAGCGCCACAGGCCGCCGCCGTCTGACGGGGCAGCCGCCGCCCATCTGCTGCTTTTCTCGTGCGCCGACGCACGCGCGCTGGCCGTCCGCTCGCCTCCAGGATGACGAACGTCACCGGTTTTCGGCGCCGGCCGACGGGACGCAGGCCCGGACGCCGCCGCTCCGCGCGGCCTGGAACGCTGGTACGCGCGTTGTCGCCGTGGCCGCGGCCGGCGTCACCCTGCCGTGGCGGCCCGCTGCCGCGCGCGGGGCGGACTTGTATGCGCGACTGGGCGGCAGCACCTGGCCGGGCCATTGTCGAGCTGCTTGCTGTCGCTAACCGTCCACGGGCTGCGTAGGGGCCGAACCCGTGGGGCCGGCTGCAGGGTGACGGCCGGAGCAAGGCCGCGGGCTGCGTTTTTGCGACGAGACCGATTTGATGCGATCGTGTTCCGCCACGCCGGCCGCGTTACGCTGCACCGGCTGCCTGTCGACGTCGTCGCCGCGAAACCTGCACCTCATCCGCTCGCTGTCAACTGATCGACGCGGACAACCATCCGTCGCGCGATCTTCCGTCGCGTGGTCGTGGACGCGGATCCGCGACATGGCGTGCGCAACAGCTGGATGGCTGGCGTCCTGGCGGGCGAAGCGGTAGTGTATCGCCGGCGCCCACGACGGCCGTCACGTTGGCGATCTTGTTCGATGTCCGCGTCTCAGCCCGGCGGTGCCACCTGCGATCGTCGTTCGCCGTGCCCGAGTGTCGACGGCCGCGGGTCCAATGTAGCCGGTGCTGCGTTGCGGATACAATATCGCGGTTGCTGCTGCTGCTGGGCTGTTGGCGCTGCGTGCGCCCAGCGGCAGGTACTGTTGGCGTGCCGCCGTGGCGGCTATTGCGTCGATGGGAATTGCGGGCGTCGGGCGTCGTTTTGCGAATATCTGTTGCTGGCTTTGATGGCGGTGGTGATGGTGTAGTGTTGCGTGTCACGTGGGCTTCGGCCAAGTCGTAGAATAGTATTGCTGGTAAGCGTGCGGTTGCTGGTTCCGGTTGTGCTGAAGGCCGTACGGAACGTCGCCACGGTGCCGGCGGAGGGATGAAGACGGCTGCTGCGCCCTGTGTTGCTGTGGTCGCTGCGGCGGCCATCTGTACCCACCGCCGATGGACTTGTTTGCCGTGAGAGGTGGTCCTGGTGTCGGAGATCGTGCGTGGTCTTCGCGGCCAGCCGTTGATCTGCAAGAGTTGCTGGATGGTCCACCGTCTAGTCCTGATGCGTCGTCTTTGTCGTCGTGGCCGTCCGTCGGATGACAGTACATGTACCGAACGAAGTACGCCTCGTGGTCGGCACGTCCGCGGCGGCCGACGACCAACAGCTCCAGCAGCTGGTGGACAGGCTGAACCGGGGCGAGCTCCGGCTGCCGTCGGTCGGTTCGATCTCTCCGTCGCCGTCCAAGGCTGCAGGCGCGCTGGACAGCGCGACGATGGCCAGCACCACGGCCTCCGCCCCGCTCGCAGCGTATGCGCCTCCGTACTCGTCCACCGTACTGCCACAGTCGACGGTGGTGCAGCTGACCGGCGGCGGTAACGGCAAGCGCCGCGAACCGCCGGCCGCGCCGCCGTCGTATTTCCCTACCCCGGCGCCTCCAACGACTACCACCGCACTGCATCAGCAACACCAATACCAAAACTTTTTCCTCCCCACCGCCGTACCGACCGAAACTGTAGCCGTCGCCACTACCGTCGGACAACAACAGCATCAGCACAACAAGTACCATCACCATCAACAACAACAGCAGCAGCAGCAGCAACAGCAGCAGCAGCAGCAGCAGCAGCAACAACAACAACGAAAACAGCAACAACAACAACAGTTTTACACACCGCCGACAATTACCCCGTCGGCGGCGTCTTACACGCCAACTCCGGCGAATTCCACTTTGTCATACTTTAACAACAACAACAACAACAACAAGGCGAAAGAAGGCAAGTTCAGTGGTGCTCTCCGCCGCCGTGGCTATTACGCGATGGCCAAATACATGCGACAAGCCGGCGTGGACGCTGTGCTCGAAGAGACGGGTTAGTATTTATGGGGTAGAGATATTATTTATTTTATTGCTGTGAACTTGTAGGAAATCGCATGTTTTTTTTGGCGATTGTGAAAAGTAGCTTTGTAAGTACGTCATTACGTGAATTGTGTAGCAACGAGTCCATTTATGAAACTTTTTTTTTTGCATTTTTTGACGTTTTTAATTTTTTAGGTCATTTTTTTTTTTTTTTACATTTTTAGGTCATATTGTTCTTTTTTTAGTTCATTTTTCGGTATTTTTAATTAAATACCGTCAATTGACATTTATAAAAACCTAATCATTAACAAAATAAATACATAAAAATAAATTTGAAAAAATGTTTCGGTTGAATAGCATTATACAAAATTCAAATTAAATCAACATTTTTAATATATTTTTTTTATTAAATAAACACATATTTATGTACCTATGTAAAATATAATGTACTAAACTTATAATATCAATATAAATATAAAAATTAAATCGAAAACCATTTTAAGTTTATTTTATATTATGATTTTTGGCATTTAATATTGCATATTTTACGTTTTAAGTACATATTTTAATGCATTTTCTAAGATTTTAAGTATATTAAATTCACAGCCGTACTTATAAGTCATCGATCTTACTTTGTAATTATGTACCTAACACTCTTTACACCTTTAAAATATCTCAGGTATTCGAGTCCAGTGTTTATTTCAGTGAGGTGACCCGTTAACTACATATTGTGATGCGATAATGTGTGAAACGAGATTTCGGCCGAATGTAAGTTATTTTGTGCATCACGGACCACGGTTGATAATAAAATAAAATAAATATTTAACACAATAATTTGTTGGGTCTTACCTTTTCGTATATCAATAGTTGTTAGTCATCAGTAGGGCAGAGGACTTGTAGCTCTAAAAAATCACCTGATATGTACTTAAATATACAAAATATGCATTAAAAATAATGGAGTATTATTTAATATAAAATGTATAAGTAAAATATGTGTAGGTAATAAATGTCTGTTAAATTTGTTTTCATATAATTAACCAAAATTATTTATTTTTTTTAAGAATTTATGTATTTGTAGGTATCTATCTAAAACCAATAAATTGAGCTTAAAACGATATTTTTACTTCCCTTAATTATTTACTTCTAAGGCATACTCCCTTGAAAATTTATGATACCCCCCCCCCCCCAGGGATAGAAGGTCTGAAATAAACACTTTTACACGTCGTAAATTGTTCTATTTTAATAAAAGAAAATAACACGTTATTGTTAAGATCGTAAAAAACAAATCAACGCAGCTCCATCATACAAGTTTTTTTCATCAAAATGTATTAAATTATTTTATTTGAACCTATAAAAACAGTTTCTGGCGCGTTTGTCCTAAAATACCCATTTCCACGAACGCTGAGCCGCCCAAGTCCACCCTCTCATCAAACACCACTCCTTCGCGAATCCTTGCCAAAGGCTTACGGTGGTAGGTGGGTGCACGAGAGTTCAAACACGTGCCGAGAATGACGTGCGTATATCGGCGGCTGCAAAATATATAGGTGGTCCCGGGCAGAGCCCAGATACATTATATTATGTAAAGGGAGCGAGCACTTTGCCGCCATCTCTGCAGACCTGCAGCCACCCATCCACCCCCGATCGCGTTCCCGCAACAAACACCCAATACTGTTTTCGATTTCAACAAAACCATATTCGCTTGACAAACCGTCAATACCAATGTAATGACGAAAACTAATAATATTGTACAGCTATTGTTGTATATTATATTATTATACGCATTAGTCATTCCACATTTCAATATTTTTAATTTAATTTTCATAGATATCTACAGTAGGTATATTAAAAAACAAAAAAAAAGTTTTCTTACTTCAAGCTCAATGCTTACTTAAATATAGTTATATCCCTCACTTGTTATTCTTATACCATTATAATTTAGCATGATCTGCTCTTGTTTTTACAATGTTTTATATATAATAATTTTTAATGCCAAATAGGCCCGTTTACTGTGTTCGTGCCGACGGACAAGGCGTTCAGATCACTATTGGTGCAGCTGGGTGGCCCCGATCGTGCCGAGGACAAGTTCCGCGAAAACCCACGTTTGCTGATCGGAGTAATTATATTTTCTATACTTATTAATTATTATTATTATTTTATTTTCGGTCATCACTGTATTAGTAATGTAACAATATAATTATTAATAATTTAATTTTTTTCGCAAAAGCTTTTATTGCATCACGTTGTGCCTGGAGCGTTCAGAGTGTCTGACTTGATGGCAGGAGACGAAATGACCGGCGTTAGTTTGGCGGGCACGCAGCTCCGTGCAAATTTGTACGCCCGACAGCTGTACGACAACCGATGGAACGATATCGAAGTAATTATACATTATAAATATTTATAAAGAAGATCTGCCAAACTGTCAATTTTAGGGTTCAATATAGATAAACATATTAACATGAAATTTGATACCATTTACAAGAATGTATTTTTTTCGATAAAAGTATATAATTTGTTTTACATCGTAATGGCGGTTGATCTATTCGTCGAGTATCATATTTAAATTTATCAACGAGTAATGATTTTACTTTAAATCCACTCTTTCTTTTTAATTTTTTATTTAATATTTCTTATTTTGTAGTAATTTAAAATAATCTTAAGAAATATGTAGAGAAAAATATTTAAAAAAAAAAAAAAGCTTTTATTATATAAATGTATTACCTCGATTCAAATCTGCTTGTTATCAGACAGTATAATCACTTACAACGATAGACAAAAATAGTTAAGCATAGTCTGTGATAGTTCCAATGCAAATTATTTGCCTCTAAGAGCTGCTTCAAATGGTATTATTTTATACGTGATACCACATTTACCATACGTCACAAGTCACTAAAGCCACTACTCATATTTATTGCTCCTCATATAGGTACCAGGAGCAAGTTGTTTTGAACTAAAACTTCACAAAAAAAAAAATGTTTTAGAGCTTTATTCATTATGTTTAAAATTATTATCCTTAAGGTGCTCACTATCAACGGTGCCCGAGTGTTGGACGACGTTAATCCGACGGCGTCTGCGGCGGCTAACGATGGTTCTACTTTCGACGACGGCAGCAGTGGGTCCACCCAACAGCGTAGAGACATGATATTGTCGTCAAATGGAGGCGCAGGAGGAAGCAATCAACAAATCATGGCTATAGGGCACGCAGTTGACCGCGTGTTGTTCCCATTACCGGTTGGTGACGTGCTCGCCACCATGAGAGCCGACCGACAGCGGCGGTACAACGTCTTCTTGCGAGCCGTGGACGAATACTGTTCGCCCAACGTGCGATCGCTACTCACCGGTAATATATTTATTTTTTTATTGTGACTTCGGTAAAATGCACCTCGGTAGGTATAGATTATTGACGAAAGCACATTTGTAATGTGGTACATGGAAAATAGTTTCCCGGAAAGGACATTTCAACAGTATGTTACTTAGTACCTCTACCGATGATATAATACGTATACCGAACTGGTGTGCTATTTTTCTAAACACTGATCACGTCAATATACAATATACAGGTTCAAGAACTATGACGGTGTTTGCGCCCGTAGATGAAGCGTTCCGCGTACGCCGCGGTTCTGGAAATTATAGCAGCAGCAGCAGCAGCAGCAGCAGTGGTTCAATAATCGATTGGATGCTTAACGAGGACGCCAGCAGTAGGCTCAAAAAACGAAATCGTCGGCGGGTTGCTGACCGGTTCATCCTCAGCCACGTGGTGTTGGCAGGACCGGGTGACCCGCCCATGTACACGGCCGGATTGCGATTTTACCAGGTCAGGGACACTGCGTATCGGCTTCCAGAGAGCGGCGATTCTGCGGCGGCGGCGGAGGACGACGACGACGGAGCAGCGGAAGATTTCAACGGTGGCGGAGACGATGGAAATTTAACGTTATCGCCAAATGACGGTGAAAAATCTCGTTTCTATCAGTTGACTGTGTACAAAGACTCGGGTGAGTTAAATTTAATTTCAATAATTTCAATATTTACTCACCTTAAAATTAGGTACGATATTTTTAATGCCAATTTAATGTGTTGTACCGGGTGAGGAATCTAATATGTATAATACGACTAGATACTTAAATAATTTATGATTTTATGTACGTATAAATAAAGAACCTGTATTTTTATAACAGTAATAATCTAGAAATTATAAATTATAATTATCTGATAAAACTGTTATCATTATCTCAAAAAAAGAGCTTACCACACATTTTTTTAAAATCTAAAATAAACTTTATATGTTTTGAAAAATAATTTAAGCATTTAATTTATTGTGCTTTAAAATCAGAATTCTTTTTGAACGCAACAACTTATTGCTTATTGTCCGATACTGCACTCCCCCTATTGGATTTCGAATTGAATCGATGTATTTTATGACCTACCTTGATGACCAAATTTATTATTATATCTTCAATTTTAGGCAGGATACGGCTGAACGGTGGTGCCGCTCAGGTGTTGGTCCGCAACGTCCCGGCTACCAACGGTGTATTGCACGGACTGGACGCACCATTAGTCTGACGGATGACCTCCCGAAAGATAGTACGATGATCGATCGACGACAACATCTGTGCAAGACGCTTGCACACAACGACGGCAGTCAACGTCGAGTGACCGTTTTTATTTATTATAATTATTATTATTTTATAATTTATGTCATACCTATTACCTATATTTTATTGTATACACTTTTTTTTTTCTATATATTTTCAATTATTTTGTATACACTATTGTAGTAGGTTTCCTACACACTATTGCTGTAATTTTTTTTTCCCAGTGTATTTCGTATAATACACGTTTTAATAATAATATTGAAATTAACGTAATATACACAACTCGCCACATCACAAGTGTCCATAATATCATTATGCACTTCTGAGTGTAGAATTTTATGTTTACCGAATGTTTTTACCATTTTACTAGTGATCTTATAATAATTATTTAAGTTATTTTAATGATAGAGCAGAACAATATTTTTCAACAATTATTTAAAAAAAAAAAAAAAAAATTAAAATAATTTGAAAATTTCTCACGTCTAAATCGATTTTACATGATCATTTTTGTATTTTCTCATGGTTATTTTGAGATTTACTGAGAACTTTTTATTTTGGCTTCTTGCAATCCAAGTAATACCTTCAAAATTTACGATCGATTAATTTTATCGTTTATTTATCGCTAATACAAACACAAAAAAAAAAAAAACACGCACACATCATTGTAAAATCAATGCATTATCGCTCTGATCAATAATTAAAATAGATATCATAAGCTTAGTAAACCAGCATAATTTTTAGATCACTTTCGTGATTTTGTTAAATTTCATTTCAAGTAACGCTAGACAAAACCATGCAGATATCATCAGCATATTCAATTGTAATTCCTCATACATTTCTAGAATGCATATACTGTTTAAAAGTAAACAAAATCCTTGCCTGAATAAAATTGTTTAAATAAATTTCCCTACCCTACACGCCATTTACCTATACTTTCTGAGTTTTGTTATTTAATTAATTATTAGTCCAATTTAAAATACACGTTTACATTCAAAAACTAGCTAAAATTCTAAAAATGTTGATATTATTTTCTGTGTCAAACACGCTTTCATAAAATTTATGAAAATTTTCAAGTGCATTATAAATTTAGTAATACTGACACCGTGGAAAGTTTCTTTGATATTAGTATTTATTAGTATTTACCTAATCATAGACCATAGTTATACTTTATAAATAAAAACCTCTTTAATCATATTATTTTTTTTTGTTAATCACTTGAAATAGTAGCTATTTTTTTATTATTTTTAAGTGATTACAATTTAACTGCTATAATTATTTGTTATTTCATCACAAAAAATGAGATATCTATAATATTATAAATATTCTTTATCCGCAATTAGAAATATGTACCAAATTTATTTAAATTTGTTTTTAAAAACGAGTTCTAATTATACTATAAATAAAAAAAGCAACGCTTTTATGGAAGTAGCTATTTTATTAAACGATGAAAGGAAAGAAAAAAATTATAAGCAATTATATATACATGACTATTCCAATGAAATATACTAAATGCTATAATATGGAAACACAAATTGTAACAATATATTATGTACACATTTTGTATGGCTGCAATAATAAAAATTCTAATCTATCAATGTGTTTTTAGAGTTAGTAAATTATAAAAGTAAGCAGAAATATGTATAATATATATGTTACGGGCAAAGTGGAAATTCGGACAATATATTATACAAATACAATGTCCGAGGTATATTGGGCAATGTAAATTGTGAAGTATTTATACAAAATAATCTGCATAATATATTATGTTTTTATTGCAAATTATTAATATTATTTTTTTTCTTATAAAGTATAAATAGTTATATGTTACGTCTATCCTTTGGTTAAACACTAATGACATTTTGTGAATGCACTATATATCCCGATAACGAAACCAATGAATATCTTATCTCATATAATTTTGGTACGTGCAGTTTTACTTTAGTTGTAGTATACTGTCACTCAGTTTATATTGTGCAGTGCTTAAACAAACATTTATTTATTTTTTACATTTTATTTAAAATGGAAAAATTTAATGCGAAATTGAATATTGTGTTAAATGAAAAAAATGTGAATAATGTGTATTTAACCAAATTAAAATACGACGAATTAATTGAACATATAATAATTAATATAAAGAATAGTTCCCAAAAATTGAAGCCAAATAATTATAAACTCTTGAAGAAATATGATGTAATAAAAATATCTGAAATTAACAAATTAATTGTTCCAGTAACTACAGGTAATAATAAAAAATATATATATTAAAAAAAAAAAAAACTATTTATAAAAATAGTAAATATTATAAAAACAATATATTACTGCAGTTTTATTATAGATATCTTTATTGTTTTTATAATATATTATCATTGATTTTATATTAAATTATTGTATTATTATATTATTAAATATTTATAATAAGCAGCAAATAGACTATGTACATGTACATCAAAATGCCATTCAAGCAGTACATGTGAAAACAAATAATTGAATTGAATTTTTATTTTAATTAATTAGTATAAATAGTATAATAGTATAATTAGTAAAAAAAAATTAAAATTATTTGAAATAAATTAGTATAAATAAAAATAATAATAATAATAATATAAAAATTAATTAATTATTAATTATGTAATTGTTAGAATAAATGTACTTCACAATATTTTAAATGTATAATTTAGGGCGTAATGCGTTTGGGCGAGTTATTTTAAAACATTATAATGTGTTTGGGCGACTTTTTTTTCAATATACCTACTGGGATGCTGTATTTTACCAATCAATTTTCCCTTTCATTTAGTCAGACTTGGGACTGTCAGTGAATTCCACGGGTATGATTAAAAATTGATGTAATGAATAATGTTAAAATATTATTAAAATTAAAAAATATGTAAGTGTACCTAATAATATTAAAAGTTGAGTTAAAATATAATGAAAATGAAAATTTTTTTTCCTGGAAATTTTACCCCCATACGTTGTATATACTCTAAAATCTTAATTTCACCTGACATATACTTATTCCAACTTGTTTTTACATATTCTTGTTTTTCTAATATAACTTTTCGTCGAATATTGTAGATATTTTTATTTATAGCATCGCATTTTGTGTTAGTTTCTACTTGAATTTCGTTTTGTATTAAAAATATAATCAATTTTAAGATCCATATTTGACATAAACTCACTAACACTATAATATACAACTTCACGTTTTCAATGTTCAAGCAAACTGATATTTGAAAATATGATAGAGTTTTACTAGTTGCCCGACCTACATATAAGACTGTGCCACATTTAGGTTGATCTAAAATTCCCTATAGATTTTATATAATAATTATTATTATCTTAACCATTAAATTTTTATCTTTTATATTGTTTTGTTCAAAGACATTATAAGAAACTTGCCCAAACACATTATTATTTTTATGCTGGTAAAAAGGTAATTCGTCCAAACGCAGACCGCCCATAATTTAAGCTAATTTATCATTTGATGATTATTAATTATGTGTAATAATGTAATATTAATAATTTGCAATAAAAACATAATATCATATTATGCAGATTATTTTGTATAAATACTTCATAATTTACATTGCCCAATATACCTCGGACATTGTATACATTGTCCGAATTTTCCACTTTACCCGTAACACATATACATTATAAACTATATATTTTAGAATGATGTGGTCACTGCTCTTGTTCAATCCAAGCACTATATGACGTGATCTAATTCTGTTGTAAAGGGTCATGGGGCATCCCACACATAGCGTCTATATTGATATTGTATCAATTTGTTGTCAAAATATTGTATCACACCTTGATTCGCACACAGATTACAAGATTACACACCAGTGATCAAGCACGATTACAGACCGTGTTTGTATTTTAAATGTCTGTGGTTACAGACATACAGATAAATATCTTTATCGCGGTTCTGGTTTTATAATCAGCTAAATACAATTGATACAAACAAAATATTTTAATCTCATGATTATCGGAACTTATTAAATTTTCATACTTTTATTGACTAGTCCAACAAATTGCCAAGTAAGACAAACATTTCTTTCAAGTTGAATTAGAGCACCAAAGAAAAAATGCATATTTATGCATAAATCGCGATTTTTATGACAACACGCATTTTTTATACGATATTTTAGATAATGTAGAATATTGTTTAAAATAGTTAACAATAGTTTTCTTTCCACCATCGAAAATAATTATTAACGACTAACATCAAATGAAGATAAGATATTTGAAGAGAACATTCTAATTTTATTTTTTTAAATAGTTTTCTAAATGACTCGCCATTACTATGCTAGCTGTAGGTACTGTCCACATACCTATCAATCTCGTAGCGGTAGAAATAATTTCGATAGTTGAAAATTCACCACAAATGATCAAAAGATATTATAAATTATAACAACAACAATTAATTTACAGTTCTTATTGATTTTAGCGGTTTTTATCTTCTAGCTCAAACAGTTATCAAGTTCAGACAACTTGTATAGTGCTTATGGTATTGATTTTTATATTAACTACAGTTTGCTGAATGATGAAAAAAATGTATTTTTATTTTAGTTTAGTGTATAGTCATGATGAACACATTAGTTAAATAGGTTGTAGGTATATCTTATTTTTAATATAGGTGTTAACCAGTTTGATGACCACAATTTTATATTATTAGAAGCTAATAAAAAATGAGGGCTTACATTTTTCAACAAATGACTTAAAATCATTCCTTGGCTATGCTATTTTTCAAAACTTAATGTGGTGTTTTTTTGTAAACACAGGTGTTGTTTTTGCTTCTTGTGATGGAGTTGGACAACAAGTACTAGATTAGTTTGTTGTAAAACTTTTCATAATTAGAAAAAAGCTAAAGAAGTACACTTGTTATTTATTAAATATAGTTGATGATTGATTATAAATTTTAGTAAAAGAAATATATGTTAGATATTATCCAATTATAATGGGTTAAAATACCATAAATATTCTATTTTAAAATCAGACCATTTTTTACTAGACATTTTATAAAATGCCAATATTATACCCATTGCCGCTAACATAATATGTATGAATTTCAAAATGTAACATACAAAACTAATAATATTATATGATTTTTACTATGTGATGTTTTCTTATGGTCACTATGTAAATGCTAACAAAAATATGATCTAAATCTTAAAGAAGCTATAAAATTCTCTGAGTGTTACAATTCAACAGTAGACTGTTTAAGAAAAAACATTGATAAAGAATTTAAATTTATGTTTAAAGAAGCAAAGTAAATATATAATTAAATTCAAATTAAATAACAGTTATTTTAACTTTTAAACTCAATTAGAAAATTGCTTTGATTTTAAGTATCAAAATTTCTGTAAAAAG